GTATGTGGGTTTCCAGTATGCTTTGCATCTATGGCAATATTTTTGTGCCACTATTCTGAGCGCACGTAAAAAAAATTTGAGCGCTCAAATTTTTTATACGTGCGCTCAGAATAGTGGCACAAAAATAACGCCATATGCATCAGGGTTGGTTGGTTTAAAGACTCACATATAGCCTGAATAAATCCATAGGGTTAATGACCACCGTGTCTCACCAGTCAGGTAAAACCTGAAACCTAAGTCCAATTCCAGCTCTAAGTTATACAGTGACCCACATGAATGAGTAACCTGAGACAACATTACAGCAGTTTTAAGAAGAGGACATTTTTAGAGGCTCTGGGGTGAGATTTTTTTTAACATGACACTGCACAAAAATAATGAAAGTTTTTCAGTAGTAAAGATAAATGGCAATATCTGACACATTACTTGTTTACATAGGTGAATAGGGTCATGCCAGAGATGTCTCAGCAAGACTCCCACTATTGTGTTTAGGATTGGGGGTTGGACTGAACCATTTTCAGGAAAATTAACAGCTAACTTCTTTTAAAAATTACATTTTTAAAATGTTTGATTATCATGAAAGTTTTAAATTGAATTGTGTTATTTAAAATGGTAATGTTTTATTTTTTTTTTTATTGGAGCACCAGGCTGAAACATCAGATTTGGTGGGTGGGGTTAGTGCCACCCAGTACCACAGCTTTATATAGGCCCCTGCTCCACCACACACTTTAAAAGGACAGAATGCCTTGTGCTGTGAGCAGAACTGAGTAACCCACTAATTCTATGACAGAATAATGGCGCTTACAGTGGAAAACAGACACAAGGCCACACAGGAGTGTCCTGTATGCTTTGAAAATGTTTTGGCTGCAAAACGCACTCTGAACTGCAAGCATGTCTTCTGCCAGGACTGCCTGAGTAAAATAATGGTAGTCGCCAAGAGTCAGGGATCTATTGTTTGTCCTCTCTGCCGTCAAGCCACTTATCTTAACAAACAGAACTAAGCTGGCGAGACCCTGGCTGCAGATGTAAGCCCAACAGAGGAGGCCCCTCTTCCTTTCCCAATGGGGTATCTTGTGATGGAGTCGATGGCCTCCATAGTCGGTCTGTTGCATGAAGGAAACTGGATGATGCATCATTTCAGGAGACTTTCTCAGCAAAGCAGTGAACAAACTGTCGCCAACAGGAATGGGTCTCAGGTTTTTATAATCAGTGACCAAGTGAGACCCACAACACGCAACGATACTGCTGTCAGTATTCCTGAGCCTGAATCTTCAGAGAGTTTGAATGCCAAATGCAGCGTTTTTTGCCTAGTAATGGTGTTTTGTTTGATCACACTGTTATGGGGTTTGGTAAGTCGCCTTTCAGCATGTCTAGACTTCATTCAATCTCAGGACAGACACGTTGCCTCACATTGTGATAACAATAATAGTAGCATTTTTTTTAATTGTTCTTGTGATATCTTCATTCTTCTTCTTCTCTATTTTGTCTAATAAGAGGCTTTGGCATGAACAGTATATTCAGTTGTGTAACCAGTAAATCTAAGGTTTCTAACGTTGTTTCTATCTGCAGATGCGTCAATCCGTCCGGAGGACCGGTGTTCCAGATTAACTGGCGTCGCAGATTAACTGGAGTTGGTCGAACAGATGTGTGGCAGACTTTTCTACAGTCAATGGTTCACACAAAGTAAACTGCACGCTTTAGTTGTGAAGTTAAAACGCTGAAATCGGACTAATAAAACGTAGGAGGGGGACGATAACGACGACTAGATTCTCCCGATCGTTTACTCTTGCTGTCCTGTGAACAACATCGGCGTGGTGTTAATTGTTTGCTGTTTTCGCCATCGCATCGTGCATGAGAATATCACCAGGTAAACTCGCGACATTTCTAAACATTTTGTTGTTCAACAGCATCAAGACTGACGGGGTGTGTTTGAGTTAACCTCACAAGGGTCACAGATGACATCTTTGGCGTTTTGTTTGGTTTTGTTTGGTTTTTTGCTGGTTTGTCGGTAGCAGCTCCTGAAAAGCAGGTCTGCCACACATCTGTTCGACCAAATCCAGTTAATCTGCGACGCCAGTTAATCTGGAACACCGGTGTTTCAGATTAACTGGTGACGATGAAAAAGATGTGTGGCAAACTTGCTTTTCAGGTGCCGCTACCGACAAACCAGCAAATAAACACTGAATATTTAATCTGAAACATTTGTGACGTCACCTTAAACACAGTCTTATTGCACTTGAACAATAAAACATTAAAAACTGTCACGAGTTTACCTGGCGATATTCTCAATCACGAGGCGACCGCGAAAACGGCAAACAAATAAACGTCACCACGCCGATGATGTTCACAGGACAGCAAGAATCAACGGTCTTGTCTTGATAAATGCCAAATTATATACACAAAGTTCTAAAAAAAAAAAAATCACCACTCGTATTGTTCATGATGATTTTAATATTTTTTCCGTAACAAAGAAATGTCTTCAACAAATATTACACATTAATATTTCACTTATTGTAGATAAGCGCCCCCAACGAGCTGCCATCAGAAAAACTGACAGTTTATGAATGTAATTATTTTAATTAGATATCTATACAATTCGATACTTTACACGTTTTTAAAGACTGGAAAGCAACTGATCAACTTTTGTTTGGAGTTTTGCAGGCCAGGCCATTTTTTGTTTTTAAATGAATCACTGTAGCCAACGGTGATATATGACAAATACAATGTTTCCTTATACCTAAGCATTGCTGCATTTTGTATGTTGCTTGTTTGTAGGTTATAGTTGGCACTCTTTTGCGATGAATATCAGTCTTAAATTTTAGCGACCTCTAGTGTTCATGCCCGATTAGGGTCATGAATGGTCTGTTATCTCCCGGAGAAAACCAACGACCCTAGAAAACCGATATTTTCTCAGATTTATTTTTGGGGGTTATATTTTGGGGGTTTAACAAAAACATTTTAAAAAGCTCACAGATAAGTGGCATAAACCTTTGGACTTTCAGTTGTGCTTTCATAGGTTTTGCACCTTTTCCTACTGATTGATTATTCATACCATATTAAAGCAATTAAGTAATAGATGACAATGGCAGAAAAGCTCTTGTTTTTTATCTATGTTTTTAACAAGTGTTCTACAATTTAAAACAAAATCTGTGAATGAACAAATATGTTATGTTTTAAAGAACAGTTTTACACATTGTTTTCTTACAGTCTTACATTTTGGGCACTATTTTTTAAAGTGTTCATGTGTGCTGTATTTGAGTGTAGGAATAAATTATTTATGTTGTCATTGGGATTGGGTAACTTGTCATGAGGGAATTCCCCACTGGGGTAGAGGGGAAAGCTGCATGGTAAAAGAGGACAGGAATTTGTAGCAGCAGGGACTACTTAGTGTGTCAATCTTTAACGATTGGACACACTAGTACATAAATATTAAATAAATTACATACTATAAAAATTATAGGCACATCTATAGAGTCTGAAAATCAGGCATAGTCTATTCTAAGACAATTTCCAGAACTGCATTTGTCCCTGCTGGAACTTTTCCATTCCTTTGGCACAAATGTGCCACCTCCATGATCGAGATGAGTAAGGCAGGTAGGTAGGTCACAACATAGAGACAAGTAAGAAATCACCAGGAGCCCTTAACAAGTCCTGTTAGTATTCTGTGTTTAACAAGCAAAGAATGAAATACTAATGGAAATGTTTCAAAGGCAACTCGGACTATAAGATTACTGTATGTAAAACATTTAAACCCTCAATTAACTTCATTTACCAGTGTTAGTTAAAAATTCCTTTGTATATATGTAACATCTGTTTACAGCATATTACGTAAGACCACATGTGTTATGACAGGGAACAGTACAAGAACCCTTAAAATCACGTACAGTGCTTTTTAAGACAATTTTCAAGGTTGCTTTTGTTTTGCATAGTCATTTCCAATTCCTGTTCCCTGACTCTCCCTCACCTACACCTGGAGTGGAGGCAAATCAGAATCCTCCCTGAGGTGGAGAGACGAGCTGCTATGTAAAACAGGTCCTGTTGCCAGTGGGAACAGTGACGTGACTGACTGGTTCCCCTGGTTGTGAAGTTTTGGTTTGCGTGTTTGTTTGTTTTGTTCCAGTTCCAGTTTTCATATGGGGCTTTTTATGAGTATTCTTCAAAGATTTTCAATATTTGTCCACCAGGAGCACAATTCATTTTCCCAAGGGGCCACTTGAGAAATCAGGACCACTGTAGTGGGTCACACCACCTAGGCCTGTCAACTAGACCTATTTCAAAGGTACATCCTATCAAGACGGACATAGATATATGATTTCAAATTAAAAAGGTTCCTTGAACTGTCTTGTCCCAATTTGGTATTCTGTTCTCTTGTATCACCACAGTTCACATAAATGTTATAAATAATAATAATTTGAGATTTAAAAAAAGGCCACATCACTTGGTGTACAAGTGGCCAATCTAAGGTATCACAGTACTAAGCAGTTTTACAACTAAAGCTGATGAAGCATCAAAGATATCTTTATCACATATATTTGTTATCTTATATATTTGTTAGTTTGTGTCAAGATAATCAATGATATTTGTCCATGTACTGTAAGTTTGAGATTGCTTTAAGCTTAACAGTAATTTATGTAGTTTGTGTGAAAAATAACATTTTTTTCTTTACATGCTATTTACTTAAGTTTTTTAATTTATTTATTTTTATGTTTGATATTTGCCCTTTTTGTTGTTGTTTTTCTGCTTGAATTATTTGATAGGCATGGGTTTGATAATCATGCCTATTTATTTGACGACATTTCAAGGAATAGAAAAAAAAGTTATTGTTTGGTGGAGGTTCAGTCCCTTCAGGTCACTGTGAAACTCGAGCGTAGTCCGAAAAAAGGGTGTGGTGTGGTTAAATCGCGAAGATCTATTTCAAGAGCAGCCCTGCGTGTGATGTAACGTGAAATCACGTCATCACGTACGCCCCTGTCAGGATTTACGTTGGTTCCGGGAGACGCGTTGGCAATTTCCTAAACAGAGCTCAGTTACCTCATTGGGAAACGTCAGTATCACCCGAGGCCCGGCAAAGAGGAGCTCTGCTTATTGTTGGGTGTTTTACCGGCTGGAAGGTGACTCGCTGCTACGGAAGACAACAGTAGACCGACTTGACATGAGCAGGTAGCCGTTTAAATCTCTTAAATTTGACCTCTAACGCGTTTTTAGTGTTTGACCTGTCCGTGTAACCAGCTGTCGAGGTATTTGTGTGTGTGTGTGTTTTTTTTAGACTTTACTCTCCTAAACGTTACGAAGATTATATGGTTATTTCGGGATACATATCGAGACGTGTCACCTTAAATGTTTGCTTCATACGCCTTTAAATCCCGCTCGTTCTGTGTGCTGCATTTTTACTTGTAACGCGAGAGCGAGCCGACAGCTTTTGGCGTGAGCCCGAGCCTCTGTGCGGTCATACCTCCCACTATCAGATACCGACACGTTCAAACGTGTAAAAATCATCAGCGTCGTTAAATCACAGCCTGTAGCTGCTGGGCTGAATTAGACCTTTTGATACATTTGAGATCAATACCAGCCGTCACATAATCAATAAGAGGTTCTTGGTCTCATGCTTTTTATTGAATTTTAAGCTTTTTTTTTTTTGTCTCATTAAGCATGTTTGTCTGTATGGTGGGCTAATCCATAACATGAAGACCAAAATATGGACCCAGGTCAGGGGTTGTGCCACCACACCCTATAAAGCTATACAAACCAGCAAAACTCCAAGAAGGAATCTGAAGACAAATGTAGGATTTTTCTGTACAGGAGGGGGAAAAGTGACTTTGTCAGCATCAACACAGGACACAGAGACAAGAATGTGGAAAAGGAAGCACTCTCTTTACTTGCCTTCCCTTGTCTGTAATTTCCAGATCTTTGCTGGATTCGGGCCATGTCTGTAGCGGTGTTGTTGCAGTAGACAAACAGATCCAGGGATGAACCAGAGCGCTATCCAAAGGAAATGAAAAATAACAGGAGCTATCCTGTTCTGACTGTCTCTGCTTTTACCTGGTACAGGATATGACTTAGGGTTATTGTCCTGTGTAGGGCTTTGATGGGCTACAAGATTTAGCAGAAAGCACCAGATCCCTTTCAAGCCTCTGTATCCTAGCATTGACAGAGATGAGTAGTGTTTGATCTTTGTCTAGTAAATCAAAAGAAACTTTTTAGGTACTTCCCTAGAGTGTTGTGTCTGGTCTCCTGACATCCAGCATGTTTTGTCAGAGGAAGCTTTGAAAAATCTCCCTTACTTTCTGTTACCCCCTCGTTATTATGGTCTGCAGCGCGCTGACACGTGAGGGTCTTAAAGACGGGAAGCTGTTCATGACGGCATCTCTGAGGAATGCTGTAAAGGAAACTGCAGTCAAAGTCATCATCTCTCTGAGTCTAGACTTAGAAGTAACACCCAGGCCCAAGCCAAGCAAGCCCCTAGATTCTCTTTATTTATTTAAAATCAGAGCACATTTGATTTCAGCTCAGGGTTTTCCTGTGTCATGTCCACTTGCTGCTGGTCCTATCTGCAGGAAATCCTTAGAAGCCAGGACCAGATTATAAATATTCCCGGGGCTACAGCAGTGCTAGTGCTGGTTTTGGCAGCTGTTTCACCAGACCCACACATGACGCTAACAGCAGCTCTTTCCAGATGTGTTTAATGATTCCCTGACAACAGCTGCGTAGGTCCATATACATCACAGAGTTGAATTGCTCACCAGAAAAGAGGAATGACTGTCTGTTAAAGTGCTAATTCTGCAAACAGGAAGGAAGATGAAAAACGTACCCACTTGCGAAAAATGTAAGAACTGGACTCACACGTTGATCTTTTTAGCAAATGAACTCGTCATGTTGAGGTTGCATGAGTTGAGCGAGCTAAGAGGTTAAAACGTAATAATTTAATGCACATAACACTGAAGCTTTCCCAGGTATATAAAGGCATTGGCACACTGAACACAAATTATTATCAATTATTTCTGGTATTTGGAAGTAATTGCTTAAGAACTGTATTTAAGTTGGCTTTTTTTTTTCTTAGCATTGTTGATTTATGAGTAACTGAGGATAGACGACCTCATCCTACAGGGTTACGCGGTCAGGATGATCTGTGGCTGAGATAGGGCCTTTCTTCTCCAGTGATGAATGAGGAGAATGTTTGATGGTGGCTCTGCTCTGAGATAAGAACGGAATGTGCTCCGCTTGATTTAACATGTCAGAGGATGCAAATGGCAAAACTGCTGTGCTGTCCATTTACTAGTTTAGCTTTTCGTTACAAATTCTAATCTAACTGAAAAAAATCTGTAAATGTAATACAAATGTGCCTTCAATCCTCAGGTTGCCCTGACATGGACTCAGAGATGATTCCCAAATTTTCGTCAAAGGATGAGGAGGTTGATTACTGGAAGTCCCAAGCCCTCAAATATAAGAAAAGGTAGGTGGCTTTTGTGTCTCATCTGACAGCAATGCATGGCTGAATTTATTTATGGTATGAGTTGGTGTGTATGGCTTAATTTCTTCAAAGAACAGGCCTGTTGTGCTCTGAGTTTTTCATTTCAGTTTGATATTAAGCCAAAATTAGGTTACATAACATGTAAAAAGAAAGAAAGCGGAGTTGAAAATCGAATGACAGCGATTCTTCAAATATAGCATAAGATGAAAAACAGCTTTTGGGGACAGTAGATGCTCATCCTTGCATAATAAGCAGCTGCTTTGTTTTGCTGAGTATGTGGTTTGCGCAGTAGTTTTGAAAGATGTGATTACATAATAACTTTGTGCCAAAAGTTTCCACACAGGCTGTGTTTAGCCGTATAAGGCAAATGGCCAGAAAAGAGTAATGAAATCAGCACTGACACACTTCATGGTTTACTCAATAGGAAATGACACAGGCCACAGGATAGGCATTAGTGTCCCTTAAGAGTGTCATTTGACATTTGTTTAGTCTTCCTTTCCTATTTGTGGACGTACAGTCTATGAGAAGAAGTGTAAAAGTGCACAGCAGGGGTTAAAGTCCTGCTTACTTTGAGACATTCCTGTGGGCACATGGTGGAAAAAAACATCAGTGCATGGAAAGAAAAGTGGCTTCAAGTAGATTTGCCATAGTGTGTTGCAGTTTTTAGGGCATGCATTTTCTCAGAATATCCTTCCACTGAAGTGATATTTTTAAACTTTTTATTTTGAGTTTATTTACAAGGCAACCGCGACATTGTTTGTCATTATCATTAATATAACTTTTTTCATTCTGATGTATGGAATACTATTGGCCAATTTAATCTATTAGGGTTACATAGTTATGTTACAGGGCCCTGTGTGTGCTGATCAAGCACCATGTGTGATGCTGGTATGTGTGGAACACACAACAACTGATTCATGCATTTCAGTGCTCTGTGGAGCCACTGTGAGGGTATTATCCCAGCACAGAGTCAGCTGACCAGTGTTACCAAGTGTCAGCTCAGCAGGAGAAAAAATAAATTATATTAAGAAGCCTTTTCCTCTCTTTTCTACCTTTACATAAATGCATTTACAAATAATTACTATTTTATGCAATATTTAGTGTGTAAAAACATCCTGTTTCATAACTTTTATCCTCCTCTGTTTTTTTTTCCTGCTTGTGACCTTTAACCTGGTCCACTCTGAAGATGCATGGCAGCATGCCCGTTCTTCTCACCTATTTTTGAACCAGCTACTGTCACAGTTCAGCTGTCTCTTCAGAGCTGTATATTTAGAATGCTTAACTCGACAATGCTGAGCTGAACCCTTATTTCCTCTTTGACAGAGGCCAGACTACAAATACGAACCTGTAACTGGCTTTCATACAGGTTTATTTCTGGCCATTAGTGGGGTAGAAAGCTGCTAGAACATGCTTGGCTTGGCTCAGCTTGCAGGACAAAGGTCTGTCAGTTTTCTAGAGCTCATAGGCACGGTCATTCAGCCGGTTAGCTGTGCAGAACTGAATGGGGGACGACGAACAGGAAAGCTTTTATCACAATGACCGTTTATGGTTTTACCCACTCTCTCTGTATTTTTGCCATTTAGTTGCCATGAAGCCCAAGAGGAGTTGCAGGAGTTCCAGGAGGGAAGCAGAGAACTGGAAGCTGAGTTGGAGGCACAACTTGGTCAAGCTGAACAACGTCTTCGAGACCTACAGAGTGAAAACGAGAGGCTAAAGAATGAGGTTTCCAACCTCAAGGTAATGGGCCTTTTTGATCTTCATTAAGCGTTTACCTTTGGCTAGGACACTAATAAAGTCATTTGTGATTACCTAAGAGGTTATCTGATCTTTGTTGGATCCTGCACACAAGGTCCAATGCCTCATTTGTATGGTAGGTGTTAATCTGGGTTTTCTTAGGTAATCCTCCAGCACTCCTTAATAGGATGTCAGGATAAAGAAGAAGAAAATAGAAAACTGCAAGGCAAGCCTAGTTCTTATCACAGTAGACATGAACACGGTTTTCAGTGTGCTTGTTTGGTTATGCACATTGGTGACTGTACTGTACAACTGCACCAGAGAGCTCATAAATTATGCCTTCCTTTAACAATTGTCGGACAACGATGTTCTTTGAAACCTTGTGACCGTCCTGAGATTTGTTCTGACTGATGCTGATCTTTGTAGTGGATAAAATGTTATTTTTAAACTAGATTCCTCATCAAGTAGCGTCTTTGTTGTCCTTGTTTCTCTTTATAGACTCACTTTTCTCTTATCTGCACATTTTCCATGTCTTCCAGGAAAAGCTGGAGCAGCAATATGCCCAGAGTTATAAACAGATCTCTTTGCTAGAGGACGACCTGGGACAGACTCGCAGCATCAAGGATCAACTCCATAAATATGTCAGAGAGCTTGAACAGGCCAACGATGACCTCGAGAGAGCAAAAAGGTGACAATGACGTGTAATGTGCAAATTCTGTTTGTATTCTAGCATTTACCTCAAACATGTCAGCACTCATAAAATACTTGTCACTGTTTGTGTAGGGCTACAATAGTGTCTCTTGAAGACTTTGAGACCCGTTTGAACCAGGCAATTGAAAGGAATGCCTTTCTGGAGAGTGAGCTGGATGAGAAAGAGTCTCTCCTTGTATCTGTGCAGCGGTTGAAAGATGAAGCACGAGGTGAAGATAAAGCCCACATAAATGCATTCTTCCCCTTTCTGGGCCGTGCATCATTTGTGTAAGAATCTGTTTTTCTTAACTTTCTCTCTTTTTTGTTTTCCTTCTTTAGACCTGAGGCAGGAGCTGGCAGTGCGCGAAAGGACCACAGACAGGATGTCAGCACCCAGCTCACCCACTTTAGACATAGACAAGATTGATTCAGCTGTACAAGCCTCTTTATCCCTCCCAGCAACACCTGTAGGAAAGAATATAGAGCACTCTTTTATCAGCCCCAAAGGTTAGAATTATTCCTACTCCATTTTCCTCTTGTTTGAGTAAAAGTTGTAATATGAGTGTTAACTCTGGCTTATATGTTTTAGCACTGACCAACGGCTGCGGTAACTCATCTCTGACTCCCTCTGCAAGAATCTCAGCTCTTAACATTGTTGGCGACCTTCTGAGAAAAGTCGGGGTAGGT